ATAACTGTATATTTTTGGCACTCTTTTTAGATAAAATGATTAAAAGAAGAAAAAAATGGTAAGATCGTATATGCTCGAAATTCACATTCCCTGGGTCCAGAGGATATATATCATCGTTCCAGCGTTTTAGTTAGTGCTGTTTTGACGAGGAAGGAATATCCTATCCTAAGCAAAATAGAACCACTGAAGCCAAGAGTAAAGTTCATGCCAGCAAATAGATTTTCTCTAGACAAGTGCCCTCAAATTGATTTTTAAAAATTGTTTGAAAGGTGTGTTTGTATTACAAATCATTCAATCAATCAATCAATCAATCAATCAATCAATCAATCAATTTTATTTGTACTTCAAAGTTACATTGATAAATTATGAATTAGTAATATTTGAGGTTATACCTTTACATCCGTACAGCTCTGCTCTCAAAGATATATGCCCGTTCCAAGTTTTTGGAAGAATTCGAACATGATTGGCTTGATCGATATTCAAGAAATGCTTCACAACCGAATTTCTGTCACTGTTCCCTTCAAACACCTGAAAAAAAAATCATTTGATTATTAATGATAAAGTTATAATAATCATTCCTAAAAAGTGATACAATGGACCAAGCTCGTGCCGCTAGGTATTCACAGTCATACGAAAACTGCTCTAATAACTGACTCACCTTAATTTCATTAGCTTCTTCATAATAAAAGAACACATTATCATGGTGACTGTAACTCAATCTATATTTAGTTACCCACTCCCATGCGTAGTCGCTTGCAAGACCCTGAGTCGCTATAGCAGTTATTTTATAATGGTTTTTCAATTGAATTTGCAGCCATTGCATTGAATTAAGGACACCGGCCCTCCAACCGCTATGCTCTGAAGACGATAATAAATCCCAGTGAAGCCGAGGATTCATTGGAAGGGTTGATGATGAAGCGTTGATATCCTCATCCTTTATTTCCATATCTTGCATTCCAATCGGTAGTGTACAGTTATTTTGTTCTGTTCAAGACAATTTCAATCAATCAATCCATCAATCTTGCCAACTTTTTTAAAAATCTTTTTAAAGATGCGTTGAATAAAATAAACAAATAAATCACTTTTATTTAAGTGTCTAGTCGTTCTAGCGCTTTCGCACTAGTTGGGGAACTTTTCGCTCACACCCATGCTACCCTACTATGTTATTATAAGTAATACCATGATCACCTCGGATTCTTTTGTCTTCCGAGGGCTTTACAAACCCGAATTTCTCGCATGCATAGAACATGAGGGAAATTTAAAAGACAATGAAATCCTTTGTCATTTACTAAATTTCCCTGTCGCGTATATTAAATGGAAGGAAATTTAGTAAAAGACAAAGGATTTCATTGTCTTCTAAATTTCCCTCATGCTATGCCTCATCTACTTATGATATTCCTGCACGGTTTCCATGTGGGACGCGTTCTCGAATCTGCGCATGCTCAGTCATAAGATAAATTGAAAATGACGACTTGTTCTTAGATTCTATTTTTGTTTTAGTCCACAAATTCTCCCTCGTTATTCGGGGAAATTTAATCACTAATTCCCCTAGTGCCATGGTATTACAAACCATATTTTCATTTAATGCATGCCAATGAGAGTTTATGAATGCTTTCGTTGTTTACGCTTCCGTGACCTAGAAACCCGAACATCTAAAACCGCAATTTTACCCCTTATTTTCTCTGTGATCACTCGGGAAATTAGTGATTAAATTTCCCCAAATAACGAGGGAAAATTTGTAAAAGTCCCGAGGGAGCAGCCCGAATTTCCCTCGTGCCATGGTATTACTTATAAAAAGAGCAATGGTATTGAGTAAATGACATCATTTACTCACAATTTAGATGCTAAATAAAATTGATAATTTTTATCTGAGACATTTTACTGTGAAGAAAATATGTTGCTTGGCTACTACTGGGGCCATATAAATACGTTTAACTAAGTTTAAAGTCATTTCCAATTTTTATCCTTTTTCATCCAAGTGCCCCTTTAAATAGAAATATGCGCAGCAAAGCAGATGATGCAATTGTGCAGACTTGCTATTATCGTTTACTGATAATCATTTATAATAGTAACAGTAATAGTAGTACGTACCTTTCAAGTAGCATCCATATAATTCCATCCTCAATGCAATAGAGCCTTCCCATTGTCTTGGATGAATACGAATTCTCCATCCAACAACTGAGGGTCTTAATAAAACAAACTGCACACCTTTCCCAATGTTTCCACGAAATACCTATAAAATTGATTGCTGCCTTATAACTGAAACATATAGACCTCTTATATATATAGATATTATCTTATATAAACACAGCAAATAATTTATTCAGGAATCTATAAATCAATTAAATAATAAATGGATTAAAATGAATTATTTTCTTTTTTCGTTTTCTTTRAGAGGAAATTTTTTTTCAATAATGAGCAATAATGGCAAAAAGCGCCAAAAACTAGACTTTCGTATGAGTTTTGATTCCAATTTTCGTTTTGGGTTAACACTCGAAACGTTTTTTAAACAGTTAGAAACTGATGTACTATGATAAAATGCGTGTTTGAAGCGGTATTTTCAATTGTACAAAGATGTTTAAATGTTGCATTTGTGTTAGAATGTTGCTTTATCAGGATTTTTTATATAAAATATATGGGAAATAAGCAAATAAAGGCCTAAACCTTATTTTCTAATAAAAGTTTTGCTTTGGGTTAACACTTTGACTCCACTTTTATCAACTTCCAAACAAGTTAAACTTTCTGAATAACAAGATTCTAGCCTTGTACAACAGCCTTTCTTCAAGAAAATAGTCTTTGGCGCTCACTGCTTGAATACGAAAAGAGTTCTATCTTAAAACATTACCCATGCGTTTTTGTTGTGTCCCTTGTTGTAAAGTATCAATTCTGAACCATGATTACTATAGTATATCCAGAAATTCTTGACAAAGTTTTGCCCATTTGGACTGCCCTGTATAGCAACTCCTGTAATATTGAATTTTCCTGATGGCGATTTCACCTGAATAGAGTATGAGTGAATTCATTAAATTAAAATTAACAACGAACCGCCCTTACCTTCAGCCTTCAGCATCTGGGATTTTCGAGATTATCTTTGAAAATCATTTTTTGATTTACCTCCTGGCTGATCTATGTCAGTGCGCGAATAACTAACAGATGGTACCTTGAAACAACCTCTGAGCAGATTAAAGTCAAGGCACGGCTAACTCACAGATCAAACCCGGAAACATTCTCTGGGCTGCTCTAGTTCACAAATCAAACCCTAAAACAACCTCTGGGCTGAACAAATTCCGGGCACGGCTAACTCACAGATTTAGCCCTGACTGGCAACCTCTTTGTTGATCTAAGTCAGGACACTGCTAATACTCAAATCCGGCCCTGAAACAACAGTACTTCTGACGATATATGTGATTTGAAGGAATTGTGAATGCCCCAATCGAAGTCACTACTGTACGTGGAAATTAAGGATGGGGTAACGGTAGTGCACTAGCTAGGCCCTCACCTCTTGGGTCTCGGGTTTGATTCCCAGACTCGGCATCAGATGTGTGAGTAGATTGTTTAGATTTCTGCCTTGATTCGAGGGCTTTTCTCTGGGTTGTCCGGTTCACCTTCCTCTGCAAGACGTAACAAGCAAATTCCAGTACGAGCTGTCACGAGTTAGCCGTGGCCTGATTTTGGTTGTTTCAGTAACAATTAGTGATACCGTTGTTTTTCCTTCTTAAAGTAACTGTTATTGGGAACAGTGTTACACTATACCTCAATCCATTGCTCGTTATCATTTTTATTTGACTGCCACCAGTTTGAATGATATAGCCTTGCTTCACTTGCTCCTTTTTGAAAATTGCTGGTAGAAGCTGAAATCAAGCTATTTTCTATTCGTTTATCTTGAATGCCAAGTGGACTCGAACACGTGTCGGAGGACAAAGACCTCGGCAATACTGAAAATGATATATAAATACCATTTAAAAACCGGATAAACCGGATGCATTTTGGTCTAGCTTCGATACAGACCGCCACCCGGTGCGGAAGGTCAAGGTTCAAGTCCCGGCCGGACCTACACTCAGGGTCTTAAAGCAGAGGAGGGTGATCAAGTGGCACGTGACCTAATCGACCAATCACAATCATGATCACAGGCAACAAAAAATATCACAAGAATTTCATAGTCGTCGTAAAGAATCATTAATTTCCCCTCATATTACTTATCATAACCTCATATTTTTGAACTGTCGCATGTATTAATAGCAGTAATTCCTGTACACCAAGTCTCGTTTCCAGATAATAATAATAATAATAATAATAATAATAATAATAATTAATAAGATAAGACATATTTCTATGTAAATTTATAACATTTAGATGGCCATCGCTTTCACACGCTGACATAGGAGGTTGAAATATCGTGCATCTTTATCCCTTGTCATCTGGTTTTACGATGGATAACATGCCTGTATTTATAAATATTCTAAAGCTTTAATTCCTAATAATCGAAAATATCGAGGTGAGCCCCGGTGAACCTCTTACCGTTTAAGGGTTATTCTGAATGTTGCGCATGGTACTATGTCACCTATCAAGCATATCTTGTCAAGATGGCGGGAATCACCCGCGTAACGCTACCGTCCTTTCACATGAAAACACGGCACCACTAAATCTTTTCAGATAGGAAATGAAATCTTAATTTTGTTACTGTTTTATTTCATAGACTTTTTATTGATTCAATTGGAAAATTTATCGGCAGAATACTGAGAATTGTCAGAATCTGAGACTTGTCATCGTCTGCAATGCTGCTACTAAACTTTTATCAAAATCATCCGAGTTTTGTGGGAACGAGAAATAAAAACGTATTTCATGAACTACAGGCTACTTGAGGATCTCCCCACCACCAAACGCCATCACCATCACCATCATGATCATCATGACTATCATCATCATCATCGTCATCACCATCACTATCACCATCATAGTTATCACCATCATCATCATAGTCATCGCCATCATTATCATCTTTATCATCACCATAACCGTCTTTCATTTATAGAGATACCAAATGTTTCTTTCCTTCTCACCTTGGCTTGGTTTAGGAAGGTAGTCAGTCACTCGTCACTCGTGCTCACTACAGGCTACTTGAGGATCTCCCCACCACCAAACGCCATCACCATCACCATCAGTCACTCGTCATTCGTGCTGATTTGTGAGCGCTATGAAAAATTACTTAATAGCTAACAAAACCAATTAACGTCTATAAATACCTTTTCTCTTACACAGTACTGGCGATTGAATGAAACAAAGCTTTTGGTGCCATTTACTATCACTGTTCAGCGCAGCGCAATAGACCAGGCCTTGATCAGGGGGTACTGGTGGGTCTCCTTGTGACCATCTAGTCAAGACTAAAGTCGAGCCATCCATCCACAGATATGAATTATTAGTTGGTGAATGTTTCAGACCAATCAAAGCTTCACTGTAACCATGTTGATGAAGAAGACCTACAGCATAAACGTTCTCTTTGTCGGTGATTAAAGAAGCGGGAGTAGACTTTACCTCTTTGCAAGTATTATATGGATCCTGACCAGCCAAATTGTTTTGGAATCCGTAGCAAACTCCTTCATATTCATGTACAAGGGGGTACGCACATGGAACAATTGGCTCTGCAAAAAAGATGATCATAGGACAATAAACCAGCCAACCAGCCAACCAGCCAACCAGCCAACCAGCCAACCAGCCAACCAGCCAACCAG